TCTCTGTTATTTGCACCTGAACCTAATTCTAGCCAACACGAGTGGTTCAGTGGTTTGGCACAATGCAGGTCTGTCCCACACAGCAGAGCCTGGAGTGCTCCGCTGTGTTAGGTGACACCAGGCGGTAGTGTGAGTTACAGAGGCAGAAGAGAGGTGGCGTGAGGACGGCATCACCTACCCTGTGCACACCCGAGGCCCCATGAATAAACAGGCCAGGGCTGACAGAGGCTGTGTGTGGTGGGTGGAGGGCTGTAGATGGGGCTGCATGCAGGCTGGGCTACACAAGGCAGGCAGAGAGGCTGTGGCGGCACCAAAGGGGGGTCTGGTCTCAGGGAGTGGGGAGAAAAGGAGAGTGAAGAGGCCCATGGGCGGTTGCACAGCGTCAAGCAAAAAGAAGGTTCTGGAAGAAGGTGGGTAGAGCAGGTCCGGAGAAGGAGCCAGTGGGGGTGAGAACAGAGTGGATCATGGCTTGTCAAGGTCCTGCTAGGCCAGCTTTCTGCTGTGAGAGGCACCATGAGTGTTGGGAAAACATGGCTCTCCCCAACAATGGGTGGGCACCGTGCTTCCTTTAGGAACCAGCACCCCATTAAGGCTGCTGATGGGAGACACCCCCCCATCCCCCGTGCATGGGGCCTCACCCTGTAGTTGTGCCATGAAATGAGTGCATTTTTAAAATATGGACTTGATAGGCATAATGGGTCCCTTTGGTAACATCATTCCCTCCCCACATGACTAGCCTGCTCCTTTGCCCTGCGTCCTTGCCCCAGTCTGCAGGGCAGCAGGGCCCCACCCTGGGCCTCACACCCCCAACGTGTGCAGGGCAGCAGGCCTCCACACTCAGCCTTGCACACCCCAGCATCTGGAGGGCAGCAGGCCCCACCCCGGGCCTCGCACCCCCAGCACCCGGGCTCTGCTGGGAGGAGCTGCACTCTGGTCTCAGGTCCCTGTGGCTTTCTTCTGTCTGTGACATCGCTGTCACCCTGGCCACCTTTCTCCCAGGCCCGCCACCTACCTGCCATCATTTATATATTTATTTGTCGACTTGTCACATGCACTATTTCCCTACCCACTCATCAGTTCCAAGAGACCAGGACACACACACACACACGCACGTGTGTCTGTCTCTCCTACATTGCTGGACCCCAGCATTCAGTGTTCACTTACTGTTTGTTGAGTGAACAAGACTTTAAATGACAAAGGCGGAATCAGTGACGTTGAAATGAGTTTAAATTTGACTAGGAAAGTGCTGAGGGAAGCTAAGGAATTAGAGTTGGGAGGGCAGGCAGGATGGGTTTTAAGCCCACACTCTGGATTGGGGCTCGGTCTGATGATTGGCAGCGATGGTGTTTGGGAGCAGCCCCCATGAAGGCTGAGGCGGTGGAGCCCTCCTCCGGGTCCTGGGCTGTGTGGTTCCCCGTCCCACGCACACAGGGCCTGGACAAAGTGGGGTTATGTGAAGCCACTGCCATGAGGCGCAGATGGAAAAGTCACTGGTTTAGGCCTGATGCTTTTCTTGCCCTGCCTGTCTTCGACGCATCCGTTCCATCCCAGGAGAGCCACCAACAGGGACGCCTCCAGGCCCTCAACCTCTAAACAGAGCCAGCTGTGCAAGCTGTTGGCACTGGAGGAAGGCACGGCCGGCCCGGGGATCGCCTCGGATGACTGCCGTGGGCGTGGAGACTGAGGGAGATGGAGCTGGTAGCTCCATGCCTGGGTTTTCTTCTGTGCCAGCTCTCCAAAAAACCCTCACCCGGGACACGCTCAGGAAAAGCTGAGCGCATGGCCTACTTACAGGCAGCGTTAATTATGGGCTCTCTGGTGCCTGTTGTCACTTAGCCAACTTCCGGGGCTGTGATGACATTTATCCCCAGGCAGCCCAGCGCCCGTTCTCTGAAACTGCTTCTGACACCTGTGCCTGGGTCACTACTGGACAATGCCAGGCTCCAGGCTTGAGGCTGGTGTTTCCCCGCCCCAGCACCAGAGCACCTGTGCGGGCCTCAGTGGGAAGGGTGTAGGCCCCACACAGTACCCTTTGGGTCTGACACCCTGGCAGGATGTTCTGGCCCAGCTGGGCCTCCCAGGGCCTCGCCCTAGCTTGATTCTCTTTCCATACGCGCCTTCCCCTCCCTGGAAAGTTCATCGCCGCCCACACATGCGTGCACGTACGAGCACGTCCCCAAGGGCCCGGTAAACAGCTCTCTCTCCAGCGGAGTCGCATTGTGTTTTGCAGACTTCATTCTTCCCAGCTGGTTGTGAAGCAGACAAGGGCTATCATTACGCTCTCTTGTTAAGCTGCCTGAGAGGGAAAAAACAAACAAGGAAAGTTTTTCCTCCTCCAGGAGTCTAATTACTTGTTGGGTGAGCCTGGACCCATATACATTTCCGAAGAGAGACACCCGATGCGGCCGAAGCCACGTCCTTGGATGGGGCTCAGACCCCCTGCCCGCCCCTCTGCTGGCTGCTGGCTCTATAGCCGGCTCCACAATGAGTTTAGGCCACTTGGTGACTTGCCTTGGTCTCTGGACATGCTCCTCTGTCTTTGTCATTTCTGTGGCTTTGCAAGCGGTGTGCTTCCTTTCCTGTTGCCTGTGCTGTTCCTTGCCCTCCTTTCTCTGGACAGTTGATTCTGCTCCTCTGAGCAGGCGCCATACTTTTCACCTGCTTTGTTTTCTGCGTGAACATCTCCTGTACTCATATGTCCACCTGGCTCCTCTCCGTCCTAGACTGCGGGCTCCCTGAGGTCAAGTTCTCACAGGGTCCCCTTTATAGCCTTAGCACCGGCACAGTTCCCGCACATGGGCGCAGGGAGGTGGCCCTCAGGAGAGCGCATCCACCCTCTGACGGCAAGGTTGGCGCATACCTGCTAGTGCCCCAGCCCCGCCTCCAGGTTCTTTCTTTTCTTTTTTGGGGAGGGGTTAATCCTCACCCAAGGATATTTCTCCATTGATTTTTAGGGAGAGTGAAAGAGAGAGGGAAAGACAGAAATACTGATTGAGAGAAACACACCGATTGGTTGCCTCCTGCACGAGCCCTGACCGAGGATCTTGCAACCGAGGTATGTGTCCTTGACTGGAATCAAACCTGGGACCCTTTGGCCCGCAGGACCACGCTCTATCCACTGAGCCAGATCGGCTAGGGCCCTCCTCCAGGTTCCTGATCCGACACCTCATTCATTGTCAAATTCTGCATTTGTGTTCTGACACTGCCGGCTTATTTTGTGACTTGGTGTCAGTTGTCCTCTTAGCCGTGCACTACTTCGTCAGATTGGTTTAGGAGGGCCTTCCTTCTTTCTTTCCTCCCTTCATTCCTTCCTTCCTTCCTTCCTCTCCCTCCATTGCGTCTTGATGGGCATGGGGGCATGTCATGTGCAGAGAGGACGTTGTAGCATTTCATCTTTAGGAAACATGCTTGGCCTTGTTTTTATTTTCCCGTTCTCCTGTTCCTGAAAATGTCCTTAAATAGTCTGACAAAAGCAAAAGCCCTGAGTGAAAGGTTAGAGTCAGGAAAAATAGCCATCTCAGACAGTGATGAAAGAAAATTGAATTTATTTAAGGGACGGAGATGGGGGGTGGACTATCCAAAGGGAAGGGCTGCACAGAGAAAAGGGGGCCTTGGAGACAGGTTAGGGGGTAAGCCTGGGACGAGCTGCCACTGCCCATTGCTCCCCTGGTTGCGAGTCTCGTGGGGCCCCTTAGAGGCTGGGGGACTCGTGCCTGTGGGGGAAGGGCATGGGCATGCTCCTTGGAGGGAGAGCGGATGCTGGGTCCTTTGTCCTGAGTGTATTTGTCTCAGGGAGGTCTCGCGGAGTGTCTCATAGAATATCCATCAGCTTTCCAGCTGTGTTCTTTCAGGGTCGTGGTCTCCACTGATGGATGGGTCAGTGCCAGGGCCGGGGTCATTAGTCACTGCAGCTGGTCCTGAGGCAGCCACAGCGCTGAGACGGGTGTTTTCTGCGGTTTTGAGGCCTCTGGGGCAGGGCTCGCATCTGGCTCAGCTCTGTGGGGCTCAGTGTCCTGAGTGCCTTGCTGCTTTTCTAGGCTTGGAGCTAAAATACAACTGAGCCCTGGCCGGTTGGCTCAGTGGATAGAGCGTCGGCCTAAGGACTGAAGGTCCCAAGTTCGATTCCGTCAAGGGCACATGCCCAGGTTGCAGGCTCTGTCCCCAGTAGAGGGCGTGCAGGAGGCAGCCGATCAATGATTCTCATTGTTATTTCTATCTCTCCCTCTCCCTCCTCTCTAAAATCATTAAAAATATATTTAAAAAATAAAATACAACTGAGGCCTAGATGTTATCTTTAGGGAGGAAAAGGTCAGGGGTCCGAACCGCCTGACCAGCGATCTGAAAGATCTGGGCCCAGACCGCACGACCAGTGAACGATATGCTAGGGGAGGACAGGTTACCCTGGGGCGAGGGTCTTCTTTTCCAGTTTGCCCTTTGCTAGGCATCGGGGCTTTCTGCCTGGTGACCCTCTGTATCTGGCCCATCGTCCTTGCCCTGGGAGTCTAACACTGAGTATGTAAGGTTTCCCCTTTGTGGATGGGGCCAGATTATCACTCGTGTTTTCTAAACTGGTCAAGAGAAGATGGTGCTCACAGCCTGTGCTTGCTGAGGACACCGGCAGGGATGGGGGCCTGGGAAACCCGGTGGCCAGGGCCAGGGCCCTGTGTGGCAGAGCGGGGTGCTGAGACGGGCGTTTTCTGCCATTTTGAGGGCTCGCCGTTTGGCTCCACTCTGAGCAGCTTAGTGCCCTGCGGACTGCCTGCCAGAGATGGTCAGGTGGTCCATGGCTTGAAGGTCAGAGAATGAAGGTCCAGGTTCCCAGAGCCCCAATGAGTGTCTGAGAACCACGGGTGCGTATTTCTGCAGGGGGTGCCTGTGCCACATGGTGCAGAAGCTGGTCCCCTCCGGCCAGGCTGGTCTCCACAGCCCCCCCTCCTGCAAGGGTGTGTGCCCTGTCTTCCTCCGCCTGCTCTAACCCTTGCCTCCCTCTGGCCTGACAGATGAGGATGTGCGCATGTGGTGCCCCTCAACGCAAGAGGTCATGGAGGTGGTCTGCAGCCTGGGCACCCACATCCCTGCTCTGTGCCCGCAGGGGCCCTCTCCGCATGGCAGGAGGTGAGTGCAGCCCCTTTCCCACGCCCTCCCTCACCAGGTACGGGACTCAGTTCAGACCCATCAAAATGTATCCGTTGCGTAGGACCAGGTTTTTCCTCAGTACTAACATTAAGAAACAAAACAAAGTAGTACCCCTACAAAGAAGGGTTCTTCTAAAAATATATTCAGGCTGGGAAATATTAATTTAAAGTATATACTGTTCTATAAATGTAACACAACTAGCCATTCATTGCACAAAGCTATCAATTTCATTATTTGTAGAATGACCCTCTGTGGAGAGCGGCTACAGTGTTTGGACAGGTTCAAGCCTCGGACTAATGAGAAGGCACAGTCTTCTCATTGCCACGTGCAAGTCCCAGCCTGGAGGGCAGAGCCCTCCCAGCACAATTATAGCCAACAGCTATAGTTGTAAGCTTGAACCTGTGGTCTGAACACGTGGCCCCAGGTGCCTGAGTGATGTGGTCTTGATAGAGTTCAGGTGCATGTAAATGAGTAGGATCGAAACCCATGAGAATGTTGTAAACATCTTGACCACACCTTTACTTTGCCTCGTGGCCTCTGGCTATAAAATAAAGATTTGGCTTGCAGGCGCTGTCGCTAGCTCTCCATCAGAGAGGACAGCGTCCCACTGAGACCCAGCTTTTATTTTCTTGTCTGTCTTTTCTAAATCCTTCACCACCCGCACTCAGGTTCACCCTGGGCTGTGCTGGTGTGGCATAAGTGGCGCCCAACGTGGGGCTGAGTATGCCATGGCCGTGCCGGCTTGCCACAATCCTCAGCTCAGTGAGCATTTATAAGCTAGAAAAAGAAAGATTTCTTCTGGCTTTTTATATAAAAAGTTGAGCATCAGCCTATGAACCAGGAGGTCACAGTTTCATTCCCGGTCAGGACACATGCCCAGGTTGTGGGCTTGATCCCCTGTGTGGCATGTGCAGGAGGCAGCCAATCGATGATTCTCTCATCGATGTTTCTCTCTCCCTCTCCTCTCCTGTCTGAAATCAATAAAAATACATTTTTTTAAAAGTTCTTAAGCTCGGGGAAGCCGAGTCTGAGGGAATTACACGACAACCCCACACGAGTACCCGAGAACCTAATGCATGAACTGCCAGGCTCCCAGACCTGGCGGCACAGAAAGAACCAGGCCCATGCGTCTTGCTGGTTTGGTTGGCATCTCTTCTGCTCCTTCCTGATGCAGAGCCCTCGCTGCCCCGACTCTCCCAAGACATGCCCCAGTCTCTTCAGTCCATCTGCAGGCCTCCGCGTGGCTCCCACCCTCGTGGCCAGCAGGGCACTGTTGCTCGGTGACATCCACGATGCTCCATTTGTGTGCGGGTGTGCCCTTTGTGCACTGGGCTGGGTGATGCTCATTTGCATGAGCATGGTCCCTGCCCTCTAGGAACAAAGCCATACAATACCCATCAGTTGGATGGACAGTGAGGAGACCTGGGCTGTGAAAGCCGTACACGCTATGAGCTTGTTCTACAGGTTATGGCCCATCTAACCTCTTTCTGGATAATTCTTTCAGAAGTTGGTTTGAGATACAACAGAGTATTTAGAACCCTGAGTGGGTGGTTACATGGGAGCCCCCTCCTGCAGACTCCCTGGTCCCAGAAGGTGCTGGGACCAATGCCCATCTGCGGAGAAGGCCCACGCTCTCTAAAGAATTTCTTCCACAATGGCGACTAGTAATCATCTGCCAACCAAACCACACTGGCTTGCCGTGACTGCCCCGCGTGTGCCTGCCTGCAGCTCCGCCCCCACTCCCCTGAGCTTGAGCCAGAGGGATCAGCCTCTTCCCAGCCCAGAGCTGCCATCACACCACCCCCTAGGGTGGGTCAGGAGGGAATGACACTCAGGAAACAAATGCGCATCGGAAGTAGGGGTGCTGTGGGGCTCAGAGAGCCTGGCTGGAGACATAAGCACTCATCACTCTACCCTCGCAGAGCCACTGCCCTCCCCCTCCCTTCCGTGGCGTCCTGCCGCAGATGCTTCAGGATAAACCACTGTGCTTGGAGGCCACGGGAGGCGGGCGGGTGGGCCTGGAACTGTGGCCCTTTAAATGTGTCCCCTCAGATACTGTGAACAGACCCAGCACACAGACTTCGGCCTTACCAGGTGCAGTCAGCCTGTGCAGGAGACAGGCAGAGCCAAGTGGTCCTCAGACCAGGCCGAGGCACCACCAGAGCC